ATTTTAATTCCTTTGTTTAACCGTTCTATCTGATTATTAGACAGACTTCTATCCGTATTTAGACAGAACTGTTAATGACAACGGCGAACAAGAGGGAGAATGTGAGCACTGTGTGAGCACTTCTCAGCGCCGTCAAAATAAAAGTCAAGCCTCGAACTCATCGGCCAAACAGGAAAACTTATCGGCCGATGCCGATATTTAAAAAATGCCAAATTCATTAGTATCTAAAAGTTTATTTTACTTTGCTATCATCAAATCACTGAGGAGCAGAAAGAGCTGGAGGGTAAATACAGCAATGATTCTGTGTGACAGGAAATTAATTTGTGAACGCAACCTCCTCAGGCTCTTGTGAAACATGCGAGCTAGCTGATTCACCAAACGCTTTTGTTTATGTTTGTCTATTGAGGATGAAACGCATACATCACTGACAATATTTAATGAAGTCTGCGGCTTTTACTGGTTTACTTGGGTTAAAATGTTGCTGGAGTCCATTAAAGTGAGACCATTGTGAAACCCCTGAGGAGGAAATGCATATAAAAGCATGCTGATCACCAGAGCTACACTCAAAACAAACTCTCCACTCAGCAAGCTTGAGAAATATGAGCTCCTGGCCATAGAGGTTTTCATTCATTCAAATGACAAAAAAAAAACCTGATAATGCAATAAGGAAGTTTGTAGCATACAATGAAGTTCAGTTGAGTTTAAATCTAAAGTCTTCTGAGTGCTTCTCATTGTCTCTCAGTGTCCACAAAAGTAGCGTTGTTTACCTCACTCAAAAAGCATTTCCTTTGTAAGGTCTGCAAACTGGTTCTGACATCAGGTTTTCCACCTGGCAAAACCAGTCCTAATGTTGTCATTACTTTCCTGTTTATCCACATTCACATGTTCTTTGTTTCATTTATGATTGTTGTACAAACATCCACTACTCATTTGGTTCAGTTTTTCTTGTATAACTTGGGGTTTGTTTTGATTCTGTAATAAATAAAACAGGCAAAATTATTATTAAAGGGGTAAAGGGGCTAAAACAGATTGTATAAAAAAAAATCCAAATAAAAAGAATAAATACAAAAAAAATAAAAAATACAAAAACATTAAAACATAATATTTATATTTATATTTATAAACTGTATAAACAAAAAATTAATATTTATATTAAAAATATTTTAAATGGTAATTTATTCCTATGATGGCAAAGCTGAATTTTCAGCATCATTACTCCAGTCTTTAATGTCACATGATCCTTTAGAAATTATTCTAATATTCTGATTTGGTGCTCAATTACTATCAAATATTATTCATGTTAAATTATCAATTGTTCATTTTATTATTATTGTTGAAAAAAAGGTTAATATGTTTGTTGTTGTTGTTGTTTTTTCTTCAGGATTTTCTGATGAATATAAAGTTTAAAATAACAAAATTTTTTGAAACAGAAATCTTCTGTAACATTATAAACGTCTTTAGCATTAAAACGTTTTTTTTCTTACTCATCTCATACTTTGACCGGTAATATATGTATGGTGTGTGTGTGTGTGTGTGTATCAGTATCATCATCTTTTATAACTATGTAATGTATATAATTTATGTGATACGGTCACCAGAGGGAGCAAGAGAGCAGTGTAATCACACTACCTTAGGTGAAGGGTCACTCTGCTTGAATTTCCCATTCTCTTTGCCGTTTGACTCCAGGTGCTTGGGCTCGTAGCATCGGCCTTCTATAAAGGCTACGTAATCGTTATAGGAGCAGGTCGGGCCAGCCAAGATCCCCATAAAGTTACAGTTATAACTCAGATACTCCAGCAGACTGGGCATCTTCCTGTACAGCAAACACAAGGACAGAACAAGTCATCATTTAACCAACAAGGCACACCCAATATCAAGTGCCAAAACATGATTTTCTCTGAAAAAGAAATAATGATGAAAAAGGACAATTTACATATAATAAAATATTACTGTAGCAATGTTTTTCAGTATTTAAGAAAGCAGAGAATGTTATAAATCACTTCAATATTACAAGGCCATTAATTAGCTAATCAAGGCTAAGAAATTAGAGGAAGCTTCTCAACAAGCTACTTAAGCTGAAATAAGCTACCTTTAAAAAAAAAAGCTATGCTACAAACTATAAACATAAGATACAGTAGCTTAACATAAGTACCAAAATATACCTAAAACAACATTAATGCTGCTGAAGTTATTTATACAAATATATTTGTACACATTACATATGACAAATAAAAATAAAATATGATAAATAAATAAATAAATCGTTAATATAACTAAATTTACTATATTTTATTAATAAAACATAACTAATATAGCCTATAGACAGACAGACAGACAGACAGACAGACAGATAGACAGATAGACAGATAGATAGATAGATAGATAGATAGATAGAGATTTTTTTAGCAATACTTAGTAATGCTTATCTGGCAAAAAAAAAAAAATCAATCAATGAAAATATCGGCATTATGCTTACACAGAAGGACAAACTAATTAAAATAGAAAATTCCCACATTTAAATATCTGAGCTGAAAACCAGTGATCAATCACAATATTTCACTAAATATTTCACTGCAAAACAGATGTAAATGCCACAATGAGGACTCATTGTTTCTCTTGATAAATTGCTTGCTTTGAACCAGTTCACTGGAATGAGAATCAGTCTCATTTCTCAAGAACAGTCGTCGAATTTTCCCACGCTTGACTTGTTACTCGTAAAGTTACACTTTTTTTTCTAAAAACAGCTGAGCACCATTACAGTAGTTAGTCCAGTGGTTAAATATAATCCTATATACAAGATTTGCACTAGGATAACAGGAATTTGATCTGACTGCGATCATCTCAACCGTGAAAGAGTTTGCAGCATATGTAACCAGCACGTGAGCATTGATTAAACATGACACTATGTCATGTTTGAACAAGAACGCAACTCATCCATTATGTAAATGTTGACATATTGCTTAACACTCTGTGACCACAGGACCATGGTACTACCATTATTCAAAACTTCTCTTACTAACTGCAGGGTGTGACTTCCGAAACCTCTGAATCCTGACGACTTCCTGTGGACACCAGTTCACGTGATATGGCGGCAATGTTCAGTTGCTTGGCAACAGCCTTCAGAGCCTGATTGTGAATGATTTGAGTCTGCAAATGGTATGCTGCTTTTTTTGAGCACTGCAGAGTAATATTATGCTCAAAATGATTGTTATTAAAGAACGCAGCTGTGCACTCTGCATTTGATCAGTGAGAGGAACTTTATATCTCGAATTGAGCTAGAAGTTGGTTTTCTTTCAAAAGACACAAAGTAAACGAGTGATCTCATCCCAACCACAAACATACCTTTCACACATACCTGACTGCAAGATACTTCTGACTGGGCTTTAGGTGCTCCTCCCTCTTCATCAACCCTGTGGGAAAAACACACAAACACAGGCCCGAACTCATCAGACACACTCCCACAAAACACTGTCATTTCGAAACACGTCCAGAAGTTGATTATGAAGCAGCTGCACTACTGCAGCACGTGTAGTGGAGTTTGAGGCCAGTGGTCTCCTGCGACTCACACTAACCTGCAGAAACAGCAGCTACACTCTGATACAGCAAATGTGTGTGAATGAAGCCCACGTGAGGATGCAGAATCACACTCACCGAGTACAAACAGAAACAGTATCACACATCTGTGCTTATGCATTTAGCGTTTTCAAAGTTTAATTGTACAGGCTTAGTGAAAGCCTGTATAATAAAACATATATATTTCAATTATTAGCACCCATGATAAATGCACATAAGAAGAAAATAATTACTAAATACATGAAGTAAATAAATACTTTCTGTTTGTCTCTCTCTCTCTCTCTTTCTACCAACTACCATTTAAAGGTCTGGTGTAATATTTCTTTTGAAAGAAATGAATACTTATATTCAGCAAGGACACATTACATTGATTTGATGAAAATTGTCAATAAAGACATATAAAAAGATTTCTATTTTTAAATAAATGCTGTTCTTATGAGATAATCCTGAAAAACAATTTGTTCAGTAAACCATTGTTAAATAAGAAAAGCAATTTATGTTTAGTTTTTTCCTCCTGCTGTACAGAAACCATACCAAACTGTAACAGTCATGTTTGTGTACCGTTACACCTCTAGTGTGGACAGTGCTGTCGCATTCTGCAGCACTGAGCTGCTTCGGCTCCAGTCTGCAGCATTAAGTCTGCAGGGTTAGTGAAGAAAATGGATCAAGCCATTCGTCATTCATCTGTCAGTGCACTGACAACTAGATTAGTCAACCTATCAGCTTCTGCAGGCTTTAATGGTTGCTGGGAAATGCATAACCCACACACAGACATATACACACAGACACAGTCCCACTCTTCTTCTTTCAGCAAATGTGACAACATCAACGACAACACTTCATTATATTTGTTAACCGGGCAGCACTCTCAGGCCCTACACAAATCCACTGAAACACAGTATTAATAACCAAAAGAACCACATGTCGGACACATTGAGGCATGGTGCTAATGTGGGAGACTCGGATTTGAATGAAACCTGGGTTGTAACCCCAATTGTACAAAGCATATTTATTGTCATACTTAATTTATTTGGATAAAAGTGTCTGCTAAATGACTAAATGTAAATGTAAATTTTTGTAGGCCAAAACAAGGAAATGTGTTAGCATTTTAACACTTCCACCTCCATCAACCAGAAATCAATAGGTTTTTTTGGTTACATGCCTGAAATAAGGTCTGTGGTAAACACAAGATCAAGATATTTTTCATTCTGCAAAAAATATATCAGTAATAGCTTTTACTGGTCTTGAAATAGGCAGCTGCTAACAAGTGTGGGATATAAATGTCATCACGCTGAAATGCATCTATTCGCTTTCACAACTTGAATTTTTTTTTAGAATAGCTCCCCTGCAAACTATTCTAAATCAAACTTTCATGGATTTTTTTTATTTTTTTTAAATAAAGATTTAAAAGGTTTGTCAGACACTTAGTGACGATGACACTGCAGTCATGTGACCATGGTTATGTTTGGCTTTTATTTCTGGTGATTGAGTTTACGCTTCAAAATTAATAAAAGTTGTGTTCATATGTAAAGATTATCAGGATGAACAAAACTTGTAAGAATCATAAACTTTTGGTGGTTACAGAGCTTCCAAAAAAAATAAAATAAAAAAATAAAATAAAATAAAGTCATCACTGCAGTACTAAATACCTCAATTTCCTGTCCCCTCTGTATTATCTCTAGCATTTGACAAAAATATAATAAAAGTGGTAAAAAAAATTTTAAAAAATAAAATAAATAAATAAAAATAATATTATATATATATATATATATAAAATAAACAATTAGTAAATAATTAGTAAAACATTAAATAATTAAATATTATTTTAAATGAAGAATAATTAAACATTAAGCCTAAAGTATACTTCGTTTTTGTATGCATGCGCTAGCATATGCGTAGTTGAACGCACAGCCTTTCAAAGTGCACTGTATTTGGTAGCATGCACTAACACAGGCGGTCAACACGTGTGCTCCAGAAAGTTTCATCTCTGTCCAGTGTTTGTGCTATTTTTCTCCAGAAGTTATGACTGATAAAATCTTTGTACTCTTTCAAACTAAAGTTGCATTTATCTCATAAGCCTCTCACACAAGCGCTTGCCCATGCGGGAGTCTGTTGTTGTTGTTGTTGTTGTTGCAGACTCCAGTATTTTTTTGTTGTTGTTGTTCCGTCTTTCTAGTTTCGTTGTGGGGCAACTGATTAGTGCAAAACAAATTCAAAGCGCATGTGCGTCCAAAAATCGAGTTGTGCACATACAGTACTCGCATACTGTTCTGGTAATGAAATTTGCATCACGCACACTGTACGCGGACCCTTGCGTATGCGGAAAAACCGAAGTATACTTTAGGCCTTAGTCGGCGTTGTTTGCCAAAGTATCAGAGTGCCACAATTTCAGTCTGAATTGAGTTCTCCATAAAGTGTTGGAAGGAGGAGACTATTACAAAACTTCATTAAAACACATGGATTAATATATTGTGCATTGTCTGCAATAGAGCAGGGCATGCAGAGCTAACGGCAAGTCATTCGGAGGCAGCTCAAAAGTGCTGGGATGCAGTTTCGGCCAGATGTTCTGTGAGCTATCGCTTCAGAGAAACGGGATGTGCTCTCTTAATCTTCCCATAAAGCCTGTTAAAAGAAATGTGGTGACTGAGATGCTACTTCTGTTTGACTCTAAAAGTGACTTGGTCACATATCACTGCGATTAGTTCTTTGGTTGACTAAGTATCTAAAAACTATGCTGTGCAATGGTGTGCAATCTAGTTTGCTTATCAGTTGCCTTGTTTGCATGGGAGATTTGACAGTCGTTGATAAAACTAGAGTGGTTTCTCTTGGGTTCCTGCCATCACATTTCCATTTTCCACTGATGCTCATTCCTTTGTGCTTAACCCTTGTGCGACCTTTTGGACATTTTTGTCCTTTTCAGTTTTGTTTTTTTGAGGTCATATGATGCAATTTCAAGTTTTCCTTTCTCTTGTAGCGAATCAGCTCATAAGGGAAATATGAATAATTAATCATAACTAGTTATAATTAATTATAAATTTGCTTTGCCATTTTGAATATTGCATTGCCATTTTGCATATTGCATTTTAAATAGAATTTCGCTACCTATATGCTTCCATATTTAAAGGGATAGTTCACCCAAAAATTTAAAATCTGTCAATATTAGCTCCTCTTGTTATTCCAAACCAGAAGAGTTTCTTTCTTCAGTGGAACACAAAAGATGCTCTTTTCCAACCAATGAAAGTAAATGGTGTCCAGGGGCTGTCAAGATCAAAAGGTCAAAGGATATACAGTATCTTTACGTATATCCTTTTTTAAAATGTAAATCTTAATCTTACATAATTTTAATCAACTAATTTATACTAAAATACAGTAAAAACATTAATATTGTGAAATATTATAATTGAAAATAACTGTTTTTATGTTATTATATTTTAAAATGTTATTTATTCCTGTGATGCAAAGCTGAATTTTCTGCATCGTTACTCCAGTCTTTAGTGTCACATGATTCTTCAGAAATCATTCTAATATGCTGACATTTATCTTTCAAATTATTTTTCAGGATTCTTTGATGAATATAAAGATCAATAGAGCATTTACTTGAAATAGAAACTTTTTGTAACATTATAAATATCTTTACTGTCACTTCTGATGAAATTAATGTGTCCTTGCGGAATAAAAGTAATAATTAAAAAAACATATATTTTTTTAATGGTAGTGTATATTCCAATATGGTGTGTCAAAATAATGACAGAAATGTTTATTTTAGGTAAACTGTCCCTTTAACACACTCAGTTGAAGGGAGGTCCATTAATCTTGAAATGACCATCATTCTCCTTTATCAATGATCCAGATCATCCAAAAATGATGTGAAGATGCAGCACAATTAGTATCTTATTAAACAGATTTCACCAAGTTGCGTAATAAGCGGTATAGTGTATTGGATAAGGTAAGTGTGGTCTATGAAGTGCAACATCCAGCTGGCAGCCCAAACTACTCTGGCCCACTCACTGGAGTGCAGCGCCAGCAGTGGTATAAAACAATGGCATACGAGGACGTGGTGTAGCAGCAGGGTTTAACAGCCCTTATGTAATTCCTAGAGCCTCTAACATGGGCACAGACAGAAACAATGGAGCTCTAGAAAGATTTCAGGTAGAAATCATGCCAGTTTTATAATATCATTCATTACTCAGGCTGTTCCACCATGACAACTTAATAAAGAGAAGAATATGAGAATTGGATTAATAAAACTGTTACATACCATCATGAATCTCAAAGGCCAAACTTGTGATCTTCTGTGTGATGACCATCATGGGCCTGGAGGGAGAAAAGGAAAAAGAAATGTATGTGACAGAGATCCTGTTTAAACCTGATATTGAGTCTGTTGGATTCACATGTACGTAAGAGCTTCTACTTCTATCAAACCAAGCTCTTCAACATTTATTATTTATACAATTGCACTGACCAAATCTCCACACAGTTTCTAAAGGGTCGAGTTCACCTTGGTGTAGCTCTTATGTCAAACCTGCTTGAAGGTTGAGCTATGATACTGATCTGCTTTTATCATACTGTATGGTAAAACTAGCACTTATATACTTGCCCTTGGCTGTAGTTAACATGTATATTTCTAAAGAATAAAGCTGAATGCATGCATATTTTAGTTCTGAGATTCCTGCAAAGCAGAATATGTACACAGATTTTTTCACTTATGTTTAATCTTTAAGTGACAAATATTCTGAGGTTCAAGTATGAGGCTTTATGAGGCATCTTTTCACAACACAGATAAGGAAATTAACTTAAAACCCCAATACTTAATACAATTATGAATTTTTAGGTTAGTTTTCTATTATTTTTTCAATTTGTCCTTTGAATTTAGTTTGGTTTTGGTCGTTTTCACTATATCATTTTTAGTTTTATTTTAGTTTTAGTATGTTCAGTGTTTTCTAGTTTATTAAATTTATTCCGTTTTGGTTTTATATTTAATGTTAATTCATGTTTTTTTTTGCTCTAATGCTTTTTAATGCTCACCAAGGCTGCATTTATTTGACCAAATTACTGTACTTATGTATTAAACAGTAATTTTGTAATAGTATAACAATTTAAAATAACTTCTGTTTTCAAATTTTGTGGAAAGCATGATACATTATTTCAGGATTTTCTCTATTTTTTGATGAACAGAAAGTTTAAAACAACAACATATCATTGAAATAAAATAAAAATAAAAGTCTTTACTGTCACTTTTAAACAAACAATTTAATGCATCCTTGTTTAAAAAAAAAAAACATTCTTACTGATGCAAACTTTTGAACAGGAGTGTAAACTAAACTAAACTAAACTAGCACAATTAAATATTTTAATTTCTCAGCCTAGTGTTATTGCTATGTAGTGACAGTTTTCATGTATAATGCAGGTGTCATTTTAACATACATACCATCTATCACAAACTAAATTAATTTATATTTTATAGTTATTTTTATTTCACTTGCACTTGTTTAGGAGTCATGAAAATGTATTTTAGTTTAGCCTGCTTTTTACAGTCAGTTTTTCTTTTATTTTTATTCCAGTTGGCAAAATTATTTTCATTCAGTTTTAGTTTTCTTGGAAATGATGCTGATTCCAGTGCAAAATAACTTACCCAGTGAAGTCTGCTGAGTACATGCCGTAGTCAAACACATAGACTCTTGTGACCTGGCAGAAACTGAGATATCCCAGCGTAACCACAAAGCAGTATCTATGGAGAAGAATGCAGAAGAGGGGAAAACTTAAAAACACTGAATGGAAAACAAAAAAAGACTGTTTGGTACAAAATACCACATACTACTCCATTTCAGCAGAACATATATTGTGGTCACTATGCAAATGCTATGTATGCAAAATGTGTACAAAAAAAGTATACACTCAACAAACCACACTGTGTGAAATACTGTATCCCACAATGCATTGCACTGAACCTGACTTTCCATTTCCTGCATGACAACTAAACCCAAAGTAATTTTAACATGTCTTTCTTGACTTACCTTTTGCAGTCCAAACAAATAAGTCATTTTTATAGATTCAAATTTGCAAAATAAGGGTTTATGTTATTCATGAGATTATAATTAGATGTCACTAACTGAATTAATAATAGGGTCGTGTGAAAACAATAATTGTTATTGATGAACGTGAACGCGTTACATATTATTTTTTAAATAAATAAGCATTAATAAGTAAATAAAATAAGCAGTGTAAAGTATATACATGCATGCAATATGCAGCAAGCATCAAATTCACTAAATATCAAAATGTACAAATATTTCTTATTATTCAATTATTTATTTATGTATTTTTAGAGTTTACCTGAATTCATTAAAAGACAAAAAAACAGCTAAACTAGTCAAATAAATTATTTAAATAAAAAAATAATTTCATTAGTATATTCTCTCTCTCTTTTTTTGGTTAATTTAAATGCAAGAACAAATGTTAATTATTCCCACAAACATTTATCAAGAGGCGCCACCTATAGTAAAATCACCTGAGCCCCCACTTTGCAGGAAACCTCTCACATTTGATATCTGATATTACACATTATAATTCATGCAAGCTATTTGCATACTACAACAAATTTGTGAGTGGAGAGAGAGTGATCAAGGCTGCTCTGTACCATCGCTGCCTAAAGCGGCATGTTAGAACAACACTATCAGACTCAAGCCATAATTTCAACTCGGCTTATGAACCTCCTCCCACAACCCGATAAGGATCGCTCTTTTATTCAGCATATTAACCATCAAAAGGAAGATAACAGCCACTAAAACTTATCAAAGACTCACTGAATTTCAGCAGGGCCTCAGTGTGAGGCAAAAGCCTTTGAATTTTCTCCCACTATCAGTTGCACACAGCTGCACAACGTTTGGTATGTCAGACTCAAATAACCAAGTCCCCCGATTCCTCACTAAGCAACAGTGGGCAAATTCTTGACATTCTAGTTTCTGTCTTTGCCTCTAACAAAGCTGGTTTTAAAATGTCTACTGTACAGTCCCACTCATAGCATTCAGAGGCAGTGCCTGCTCCGTCTCAACACTAGGCCCTTCATCAGGGCTATGAGTAGCACTGTGTAAACTATGAAGACCTTCTTCTGTTCCAGCGCTCTGTAGGATGATTGTGTGGAGGCTGCTTTCTGGTTGTACAAGGAACATTGTACAGTTAGGAGATGGACTGTGATGAAGAATGGTAGTGGGTCAGTCAGTTTATTTAAAGGAAACTTATGCATCCCAAATTTAATTGTACTAAAAATGGAAATGTAAGTGGATTTTCAAATTGTGCATCCTTGAATGCTTTTTTTCAGCTAATATTACCCAATCGCAAAACAATACAGTTGATGTTCTCTTTCAACCTGTTCAGTAATAATGAATTTCAAGGTAATGGATGTAAATTATAATGCTAACATGCACACGCAACAGTACGTAAAAAGGGGCTCTGTGGTATCATTTTATGATGTGGTAGGACATAGTGCTGGGCGGTATACCGGTTCATACCGAATACCGGTGTTTATTTTTCTTATGATATGAATTTTTAAAATACCGCAATACCGGTTTCATTTAAATAATGTTCGGAACGCGTTTGGGGGGGGTCTCTTTTCACTGTTGCACTGTCGTGAGGGAACAGCTGTATGTGTTACTAAGCGTGAAAGTTCCGAAACTGAAGCTGTAGAACTAATAGAACGTGATGACACAGAAGAACTCATCCACAATATCCACTGACCGCCACAAATATCCACTGCCCCCTGCCATCAGCTCCCGCGTCTCATACACACACACACACACACACACACACGAGCGCGACTTCAGCGCTAGATTTAGCAACTTTCAGACGCTTTTAGTGGCTTTTTCCCATAGAATATATATACTGACAAACCTAGTGACTTTTTTGGATAAACCTTAGCTATGGAAATTTTTTTATAAATACCGTCATATACCGTGAAACCGGTATAATTTTGAAAAATACCGTGATATACATTTTTGGTCATACCGCCCACCACTAGGACATCTCAACACAGGTACGGTTTTAATGCATGTGCAAAATTATGTAAATTCAGATGTTGCCTAAGCTGTCATTAGCTATGTTTCCATCACCCTGTTTTTATGCACATGTTGAAGTATCGCATCAGAAATGAGAGATGGGAATGACAAATTTCTGGAAAAAAAAAAAACTTAATTTAAAAAAAAATAAAAAGAATTACTCACTTGATGTGGTTTTTGACTTGTGCGAAAGAGTAAATGCAAATAATGGGAGATGGAAATACATTTACTGAATAAATTCCTCCATGCGCTTAAAAAACACTTATTCGCAAATGTTTTATGTGATATTCCAATTTTGCGCAGAAGTTAAATTCTCAACTTTGCATGGAAACAAAGCTATTGAGAGACATATCGATTTATTAATGTTAGAAACATAAATATACAATACTAAACTTATTAAATTACTCAGTAACTTGGCACACCATGATAAACAACAACTTCCTCAAAACAGTGTAGATTAAAACCAAACCGAGGTCACTTACATACAGAGGTCTTAAAGGTACAGTAGCAAAAACAGTTTGTTTAAAGCAGGGCTGTCCAAACTCGGTCCTGGAGGGCCGGTGTCCTGCAGAGTTTAGCTCCAACTTGCCTCAACACACCTGACTGGAAGTTTCTATGCCTAGTAAGAGCTTGATTAGCTGGTTCAGGTGTGTTTCATTAGGGATGGAGCTAAACTCTGCAGGACACCAGCCCTCTAGGCCCTGGTTTAAAGGGACACTGAGAGAGGGTGGAAAATGTTCATGTACAAGTAAATTGGTCATGCGACTGTCTTTGATGCAAAAATACTTGACAAACATTGCGGATGAGAAAGAAAATAAATTGCAATCAATTAATGTGTTCTGTTTTTTATTTTTTTTAGAGAGATTTAAACTACACTGGTCAGGATGATAAAGGGACAGTTCACCCAAAAATAAAAATTCTGTCATTAATTTCTCACCCTCATGTCGTTCCAAACCCATAAGACTGTTCATCTTCCGAACACAAATTAAGATATTTTTGCTGAAATCCAAGAGCTTTCTGACCCTGCATAGACAGCAACGAAACTATCCCTGGTTTAAAGGGACACTGAGAGAGGGTGGAAAATGTTCATGTACAAGTAAATTGGTCATGCGACTGTCTTTGATGCAAAAATACTTGACAAACATTGCGGATGAGAAAGAAAATAAATTGCAATCAATTAATGTGTTCTGTTTTTTATTTTTTTTAGAGAGATTTAAACTACACTGGTCAGGATGATAAAGGGACAGTTCACCCAAAAATAAAAATTCTGTCATTAATTTCTCACCCTCATGTCGTTCCAAACCCATAAGACTGTTCATCTTCCGAACACAAATTAAGATATTTTTGCTGAAATCCAAGAGCTTTCTGACCCTGCATAGACAGCAACGCAACTATCACCTTAAAGGCCCAGAAAGGTAGTAAGGACATTTTTAAAACAGTCCATGTGACAGCAATGGTTCAACCATAATGTTATGAAGCTACGAGAATACTTTTTGGCCACAAAAGAAAACAAAAATAACAACTTTATTCAACAATTTGGTCACATGGACTATTTTACAGAGTCCTTACTACCTTTCTGGGCCTTGAACGTGGTAGTTACCTTTGTTGACTATGAAGGGTCAGAAATCTCTCGGATTTCATCAAAAATATCTTAATTTGTGTTCCAGAGACGAACGATTAATTATTTCATTAAAAAAAACACATTTTAAATAAATATACACAGAAAATCTACAAGAAATCCATCTCTTTTCCTATACCAGCTTTGCCAGAGAGCATAATCTGATACTGTGCTTTTCAAGGACTCACACACTACAGTAGCCCTTCTATAAATATACATTTACACTATTCCTCTCTAATAAGACAGACAAGAGCTCCAGTGGCCCGTGATGAGGGCAGCTTGTGCTCTCTCTCTCACACACACACACACACACACACACACACACACACACACACACAAGTAACACAATCTCTCCTGGTTCTACTTTCATTTGGCAATAACCACCACACAGTCTCAAGATGATCATTTATAAAGGTGAGACACAGAGGTGAGGTGTTATCAGCAGCTGTTAGATGGGGTCTCGTCTAGACCATAAAACCCTACTCTCACATGCCTGAGTGGAAACATATTAAAGCAATAAATCACATCATAAAAGTGTCATTTCTAATGAAACGGGGGACAATCACACCATTGTGAGATAGAACAAGACCTGAGAGAACAACCTACCACCAAATCTCTTTAACTTTCAGAGCAGAAGTTAATGGCACACTGTGTTGTGTACGATTTCAGGAATTTCACATGGGGCTGAATTTGAAAGCAAGAAAGACTGCTGTGTGAACGCTTAACAATCTGTATTGAGTCTTGAAGTTTTCTGAACTTCACAGTGATGCTCAGAAACAAGCTGTCAAGAAATATACATCCATAAGAGCTCTAAAGGTACATTCACACCTACAGTAATTTAATCGCTGAAGGTCACCAAGTTGTTGTATGTGCTTAAAGTTAGTAGGAGTTTATACTGGACTGAAGTGTCCAACTCTATCAGGAGGCAGATCATGTGAACGTTACTGTCTGCTATATTATTGGCCATCTCCATGTTACTATCCATCAAACTGATGGAACTTTGCTGTAACGCCAACTAACTCTGAACACACAAATTGCAGACTCTCATTGAAAAGTCAC